CTCTCCTCATCCTCCTCTTCCTTCCCCCACGTGGTCCCGGAAGGGCTTCCACAACGGCTGGGGGAACACACTGTCCAATAGCTTGGCCAAACGTTGCCCCAACGTTTGGCCACATATGCGTATCCTGGAAGGCAGGGGGCGGCGGCTTTGCAATCAGTTTTTGCTGCGGCACAGAATTGCGGCTTCATCCTCATCCCCTCTTCCTCCTCCTGCTCCCTCTCTTCCTTCTCCTCCCCCCCCTTCGCCTAGTCCTCCTTGTCGCCGCCCTCCTGTCATACCTCCTTATCTTCCTCATCCCTTCATCCTCCCCGTCCTGGCGGCGCGCACAAGGGGATATGGGTGGGGGAAGGCTTCTTGGAAGGAGGCTGCTTCTTAGAAGGCGCGGGCCTTGGCGCCGGCCCTACATCTACAGACAAGGCCCGCGCCTTCTAAGAAGCAGGGATGCATCGAAGAAGCCTTCCCCCCTCCCCCTACCCCCTCTGCGCGGGGCGACCCTTCAGTATCTGCATGAGGGCATCGATGCTATCTCCATCCCCACCCAGAGCCTTCCGCAGGTTCACCTACGGAAACCTTGTGACGGCAAGTTCGCGTCGTGTCGACCCCAGCGTTGTTTCCTGACACCGCGGGGATCGTTCAAACTCGAACGATCGTCCCTTTCAAAAATGCCAGATCGTTCAAGGATGGGCCGTCTCTGGGCCACAGGTTGCGTTCAACCTCACACGCACGCGCTGGGGTCGCCGCCAGTCGACACGATGCGAATCTGCCAGACGGAAACCTTGTTACTTGTTCCTCCTCCTCTTCCTCCTCCTCCTCCTCCACCCTCCTCCTCCTCCTCCTCCTCCTCCTCCTTCCTCCTCCCCCTCCTCCTCCCCCTCCTCCTCCTCCCTCCTCCTCCTGCCTCCTCCTCCTCCTCCTCCTCCTCCTCCTCCTCCTCCTCCTCCTCCTCCTCCTCCTCCTCCTCCATCTTCTCTGAGAGCGCCCACCCCGTGCCGTGATGAATCCGCCGGCCCCCCTGTGGGGCCACCAGGCTGTAGGCCGAAGGTTCGCAGCTTCATCCACCAGTTGCAGCTTCCAGCTTCCACTGTTGCAGTTCTGCTTCTTGCTGCTTGCTGTTCCTTGTTGACTTCTTGCTGCTTACTGTTCCCTGTTGATGGACCGCGCGAGGGGGGGAGGCCCAAAACGGGCATTTCTACCACGGAGAGAAAGCGTATTGTCTGAATTGCTGGGGTGGGTAAAATTTGGCACCCCTCAGGCAGATCGGCGGGGTCAGGGTCCAAACCGCACAAGGGATTTGCCACAATTCTGAAATTCGGTGGCACCCCTCACGCAGATCGGCGGGGTCAGGGTCCAAAAACACATTAGGGATTTGCCACATTTCTGAAATTCGGTGGCACCCCTCACGCAGATCGCCGGGGTCAGGGTCAAAAAAAACACAAGGGATTGGCCACACTTCTGGCTTTCGGTGGCACCCCTCACGCAGATCGGCTGGGTCAGGGTCCAAACCGCACAAGGGATTTGCCACAATTCTGAAATTCGGTGGCACCCCTCACGCAGATCGCCGGGGTCAGGGTCCAAAAAAACACAAGGGATTTGCAACATTTCTGATATTCGCTGGCACCCCTCACGCAGATCGGCGGGGTCAGGGTGCAAAAACACAAAGGGATTTGCAACATTTCTGACATTCGGTGGCACCCCTCACGCAGATCGGCGGGGTCAGGGTCCAAAAACACAAGGGATTTGCAACGTTTCTGAAATTCAGTGACACCCCTCCCGCAGATCGGCGGGGTCAGGGTGAACAAAAATGGGATTTGCTGCATTTCTTAAATTTGGTGGCACCCCTCACGCAGATCGGCGGGGTCAGGGTCAAAAAAAACACAAGGGATTGGCCACATTTTTGAAATTCGGTGGCACCCCTCACGCAGATCGCCGGGGTCAGGGTCTAAAAACACAATGGATTTGCCACATTTCTGACATTCGGTGACCGTGGCACCCCTCACGCAGATCGGCAGGGTCAGGGTGAAAACAACAAGATTTGCTACATTTCTAACATTCGGTGGCACCCCTCACGCAGAACGGCGGGGTCAGGGTCAAGAACACATACGGGATTTGCTACATTTCTGAAATCCGGTGGCACCCCTCACGCAGATCGGCGGGGTCAGTTTCCAAAAACACAATGGATTTGCCACATTTCTGACATCACGCAGATCGGCGGGGTCAGGGTCCAAAAACACAAGGGATTTGCCACATTTCTGGCATTCAATGGCACTCCTCACGCAGATCGGCTGGGTCAGGGTCCAAACCGCACAAGGGATTTGCCACAATTCTGAAATTCGGTGGCACCCCTCACGCAGATCGCCGGGGTCAGGGTCCAAAAAACACACAAGGGATTTGCAACATTTCTGACATTCCGTGGCCCCCCTCACGCAGATCGGCGGGGTCAGGGTCCAAAAACACAAGGGATTTGCCACATTTCTGAAATTTGGTGGCGCCCCTCACGCAGATCGGCGGGGTCAGGGTCAAACAAAAACACAGGATTTGCCACATTTCTGGCATTCGGTGGCACCCCTCACGCAGATCGGCGGGGTCAGGGTGCAAAAACACATGGGATTTGCCACAGTTCTGAAATCCGGTGGCACCCCTCACGCAGATCGGTAGGGTCAGGGTCCAAAAAAAGAAGGGATTTGCCACATTTCTGGCACCCCTCACGCAGATCCGTAGGGTCAGGGTGTCAAAACACATACTGCAGGTTCGTGTCGTGTCGACCCCGGCGTTGGTTCCCGACATCGCGCTGGATCGTTCAACCTTGAACGATCGGCCGTCTCCGCAACGTCCGATCGTTCAACATCGACCGATTCTGGGCCGCCGTCGGCGTTCAAAGTTGAACGTCGGCGGCGGGGTCGCCGCCGGTCGACACGACGCGAACCTACCGTAGGGGAACTGCCACATGTGCCAAATTCGGCGGCACCCGTGACGCAGCTCCAGGGTCGAAAAACAAGCAGGTCCCGACACTGATTAGCTTTAGCGGTTGCATCTCCCGTTATCCGAGACAAGGGGCCGGCGGCATGGGGCGAAGCCCTTACGGACAGCAGCTCTGACCACCACTGGCGCCCCGAAGCTGCCCAGAGCCGGAGCGTGGGCAGCGGCGGAGAGGGAGGCCCAGGGCACGGCTCGCTCACCAAGGGCTCCCAGCTTCGCGCTTCGCGCTCCGCGAAGCGCGAAGCGCGAATAACTTCGCGCTCTCGCGCCGCCCCCCCAAAGGGAGAAAAGGAGGACGAGGAGGAGGGGGAGGAGGAACGAGGACCGCGAAGCGCGAAGCGCGAATAACTTCGCGCCCTCGAGGGAGCCCTTGCTTACGGACAGCAGCTCTGACCACCACTGGCGCCCCGAAGCTGCCCAGAGCCGGAGCGTGGGCAGCGGCGGAGAGGGAGGCCCAGGGGCACGGCTCGCTCACCCGGGGCACGAGCCAAGGCTTCCGAGACTACAGACTGACAGCTTGCTCGAGCACCTCGAGCGCGCTTCTAGAAGCGGTGCATAGCACTTGGGGGGGCTCGAACGTCCCCTCGGAGTCCAGAACGGAGGAATCCCTGGATCCAGATACGCCCAAGTTCCACGACATCGGTGGGCTACGATCGGACACCAGGCAGGAACGACAGGCCAAGGGCAGGGAGGAGGACGAAGTCACGAGCATCCCCCCCGGCACCCGTTCAGACACACGCGCGGGTGGCGCCGAGGACGGCACGGTGGGCTGGGCTCGGAAACGGTCGGGGGTCTGCGCTGGGATAGTAGAAGACGAGAAAAACCACATCAACATCAACTCTTGGCGATGCGCGGGGACTTCCTCAATCTGCGCTGGACCCCTCCCTGGCGCGTGGAGCGCGCCAGGGGCGGCGCCGGAGGCGCCGCATGGGGGACCACAGCGCAGGCCCAAAAAATCCGCGCGGAGCGCTGAAGGTTTATGTTTATAGCATTGTTTCGGCTTCGAGATAGGCCCCGAGAAAATTCCGCTCAAAATCAATCCCTGGAGCTCTGCTGGGGTCGAAACTGACCAATTCTTCGAGCCGCATCCGACCGCGGCGACGAAGGTCCTTTCTCTCCCCTTCTCTGCTGGTCCGAATCATTGAGCAGGGACCGACCGCATCGGCATTCATATAGAACTACCACGAAAAGTCCTTAGAGCCCGAAAGTGTTCGAATAAGAAAAATCGTGTTCTTGTAACATAAACCCGATGTGTTGAAACAAAACGGTCTCTTCCAGAAATGCTCTAAGAACATTTAGTGCAGACCACAAGGGGGGGTCTCAGACATTCTTTGGTGGGCCTATGGGCGAGCCAGGACGCGTCACTACTGCTTGAAGCCAATGCTGGGCCACCTCAGACCCCCAGCCAAATCCAGGCCCAGAAGCATGCGGTAAGAATGCAGGGCCCTCGGAGGGCCATGCCGACACTTTGCGAGCGGGGCGCGGCCAGGGAAAGCGGTCGAGGATGGGCCGGAGGGGAAGGATGCAAGGGCAACCCTGGGACTATGTCGGGCCTGTCCCCCTACAGGAGGGGGATTGTCGACGACAAATAACAAATACCCCAAACATACCCCAAAAAGGTATCAAAAAAGTATTCGAAAAATAGTCCCCATACTATTTTTGGAGCATTTTGGGAGCATTTTTGGGGTATTTCTAATTCGTCGAAGTCCCCCTGTAGGGGGACAGGCCCGACTTAACCCTGGGAAGGAAACTCATCCTTACTATGCGGATTGACTGCAACCCCCCCCGTGGGAGTGGAGGGCCGGGCCCGCCAGGAGGGAAGGGGCCCCAGGACACACAAAAAGAAATACAAACACATAAAAATCTTCCCCCTAATAGTTTCCCATATATTTTCCGGGCTTCCGTCTTCCCCCCCACTTCCCGTACTTTCCCATATCTTCTGGGGAATCGACGGTTGATTGTGTCTGTGTGTTTTTTCCCTCCGGAAGGAAGGAGGGAGGGCAAATTTCACACCCAGGGGCGGCCCATTCCGCCGGGCACAGCAGGAGGTCGCTGGGGCACTTCTGCGGGCCCCCGCGCTCCCGGTCGTCTTCGGCGTGGGCCGCGGGGCCTGCCGGCCAGAGCAGAAAGGGCGGCACGCGCGCCAGGAAGGGGCACGACAGGCGGACGCTGCGGACTCGAAGCGGCGGTGGAGGCGACGAGGGCGAGCGTGAGGATGACGAGTGCACGCTCTTAATGGCTCGCTTTTGGTCGCCGTCGAAGTGTTGTGACGAGATGGCGGGGCCAAGGACACTCGCCGACGTGAGCCACCCATCAGGCAGTATGACTGCTTTTGCGACGGCGCTGGCAGGCACATTATATGAGCACTCCTGCAAACACACTGGTGAACTATAACAGCGGAGGGAGCTGGGGTGCACGTCATGTGCATAAGCTTGTCTCATATGGTGCACAAGCCACACCAATATAAACCCTGCCAAATCGGCAAGATGGACAACAAACTACAACCCGGAGTAACGAACACGGACGTGCACTCGGACGAATGGCATGATGAAGGCGCGTTGACCCCAGACACACAGTATCTGAACATTGCCCTCTTGCATCTCCTATTAAGAAGCCGAACGCCGACGCTTTTTCCGACCCCGCACTGAAATTCGCACAGGAAGGCGGATCCTGGTGTAGACAGGATCCTGGTGTATGCATTTTTCCTCGTTTTCCCGGAAAAACGGGGAAACAAGTATACACCACACCACCCCGACGTCGTCGCCGACCCTCACGGGATGAAAAAACAGCCCGCCTCTGGTCATGTATATGCTCCAACTCCCAGCCTTATGTCGGGCGTGTCCCCCTACAGGGGGGGCTTCCGACGCAAAATACAAAATAACCAATAATAACCCAAAAAGGCAAACAAAAATGCGAAAAGTAGTCCCCAGAATATTTTTGGATTATTTGTTGGCTATTTTGGGGTATTTTTTGTTTTTCGTCGAAAATCCTCCTGTAGGGGGACACGCCCGACTTAATCCCAGCCTGATGTCGCAAACATGGTGCTCCACCTGGGGCATTCGAAGCAGAAAACAACGACATAAACATAAACTTTTGGCGATCCGTGCGGATTTCTTAGATCTGCGCTGGCCCCCCCTCCCTGGCGCGCGGAGCGCGCCAGGGGCGGCGCCGGAGGCGCCGCCGGGGAGGCCCAAGCGCAGATCCAAGAAATCCGCGCGGAGCGCCAAAAGTTTATGTTTATGGCGATTTGTCTTCTTCGAATGTTCCAGTTTCCCGCCTGATATCGTGACGATGGTGCCCCACTTGCCGCATGTACAAACCTGCCGCAGGAGACGAGGAGTAGGAGGAGGATGAGGAGGAGGAGGAGGAGGAGGAGGAGGAGGAGGAGGAGGAGGGAGGAGGGGGAGGAAGAGCAGGAGGAGGAGGAGGTGGAGGAAGAGGGGGAGGGGGGAGGAGGAAGAGGAGGAGGAGGAGGAGGAGAAGGAGGAGCAGGAAGAGCTCCACCTGTCGCATGTACAATCTGGTATACACACAGCTGCGGTCCGAGAAGGAGCGGCGCTCTCGCTGCGGCGCTGGCCACCCCCCGCTTGCGCATGCACAAACCTGCCGCAGAAGACGAGGAGGTGAAGGAGAGGAGGAGGAGGAGGAGGAGGAGGAGGAGGAGGAGGAGGGGGAGGAGGACGAGGGGGGAGGAGGGGAGGAGCAGGAGGGAGTGAGGGAGGAGGAGGAGAGGAGGAGAAGGAGGAGGCGGAGGGAAGAGGAGGAGGAGGAGGAGAAAGAGGGACGAGGAGCGGAGGTGGATGAGGAGGAGGAAAGGGGGAGGAGGGGGGAGGGGGAGGACGGGAGGGGAGGAGGAGGAAAAAGAGAGGAGGAGGAGGAAGAGTAGGAGGAGGAGGACGAGGAGGAGGAGGAGGAGGAGGAGGTGCCCCACCTGCCGCATGTACAAACTGGTATGCACACAGCTGCGGTCCCAGAAAGAACGACGCTCTCGCTGCGGCGCTGGCCACCCCCTGCTTGCGCATGCACAAACCTTCCGCAGAAGACGAGGAGGAGGAGGAG